TGCTAATTTATTGGGTTCAGCAAGGTTCGTGAATTTCAAAATATGACGTAAACCGATAGCTTTGGTCGACATCTTCCAGTTGGTTGCTGAATATCCCCCCCCTCGCGGTGTATAAAGCGATTCCTTGATTTTTCGCCTTTACCTCGAAAGAAAACGAGGTGCAAAGCTTCTCGAGGACACCGCGGTGAGAATGAGATTAGGCCTTAATAATGAACTTTCAATGAGGACGCTCGGGAATAGTTTACGTTTTGATGTCCCTAGTATCACTGTATTCGGGAAAAACGGAAAAAAGGAACACTCACCGACAAGCTCCACAAATAGGAATTCCCATCTTATCATGGCACCGCAGACAAAACAGTTCTCCGTCTTTCTCGCGAGCATCGGAGGACAATTCGGAACCACAGGAAGAACAATTGAAATGATAAGCGTGGTACACTTCGGATCGATATTTTAGTTCTTGACCTTCATCGATTGCGGCACGGCATTTATGACAAATAGGGTGAGTGAGCCCAGTAGCCTTTTCTCGGGCGTTGCAATCATGGCACAGAGCTCTGAAGAAAAATTATTAAATAAAAACAAGATATTCCATATCCAAAACCGATTGAGTGACAAATGAATACAAAAAAGGAAGGCGCAGGAGAAATATCGAAAATTACAACAATAGTCAGGATTATCCCGCCCATAAAATTTTCTGAACAATATAACTGCAATATTCGGAATAACTAAGATTCGAGATGAAAAAGTTTGGCAGTTTACGCGCAGTTTTTCAATCAGTTCAAGAGGATGGACCTTATTTCGAACTTTCACTTTCTGTGGATTAATTATGTGATTTTGATAACGCAATTTTCACATATATGCGTGTGTGTAAATCTTACAGCATGGTTTGGTCCAGTGGTTGAAAACGCGTCTATGCACAGTAAGACTGCACTCGTGGTTCATTTTCTTTCCCTCTCTCGAAAAAAAATCCATTCTGTATCCGCCTTACCCATTATAACCTTCTATGTATATATTTTGAGCTCGCGAGAGAACAAAGAATTTAACTTTGCTGTCGGATCATACACCGGGGATGCTGCACGTGTCGCGTTTTCCCAACATACTATTGCTTGAAGCAACCGGTGACCACTGCGACCAGTATGCCGTGGCGCAACTTCATTTGCTATTTGGAATCTGCTTTTTTCAGCTCATTTAGATGAGCTAACTATCCTTGATGCATCAACTTTAATAAATTCAGAACATCAGGTATTCACCCTCCCACGTTAGTGAAAATATCCTTGCGGTGAAGCAGTGAATGGAATTCCTACAGCAAATGCTTCAAAGGGAAAATTGCAGAATGGCCTTTATGGAACGATAACCAAACTTAGCTTATTCCCGAAGAGACCCAGGATTTCGCGAATTAATGTAGTGCTGTTTTCCCTCAGAAACCGAGCAGAATACATTCTCGTAGGAAGTCACCCTGGAAGTATATGAAACTCTGTCAGTTATAATCCAGAAATATTCATTCAATAAGTGAGCATGATACAGACTGATTAGTGCCCGTACTGAAAAACCAGACCCCACCTAACGACGAACAGAAGAGTCGAAGTGAAAAGGTAAAATAGAAGACACACGTTCACTAACCTCCCATGAAGCTTAACAAAACCCCGATCAGCCAAGCAGGTGTTACAAGACTGACATCGAAAACAATCAGGATGCCAGTTGTTGTTCATTGCTTTAATGACACGACCAGAGATGAAATAACCTACAGGGATTATAATAAAAAATCGTAAATATTACCGCATTTTCCGCAACAAGGGGCAAACAACACGTGGAAGTCATGCTCACAGTATTTTCTTCCATCAAACTGAAGTAGTCAAAAAGAAACCAAGAGAACCAACCTCGTAATAAACACCTTCCGGGAAAGGCTGGAAACACTGAGAGCAACTAAAAAATAGAGAGAGCAAATTTAAACTAACACAAAGCATT